GTGTGTGTGTGTGCGCGAGTGAGTGAGTGAGCGTGTGTGTGTGTGCGCGAGTAAGAGTGTGTGTGTGTGAGTGTGCGAGTGAGTGTGTGTGTGTGTGTGCAAGGGTCTGTGTGTGTGAGTGAGTGCGCGAGTGCGCGTGTGCGTGAGAGTGAGTGAGTTCACATAGCAAGTACCAAACCCTTTTCAAAGTTTCATACCATTCCGATGAACAAAAAATAAATAAATAAATTTTTAAAATCGTAAAATGTTTTTGTAAAAAATGAGGGTTACTGTTAGTTCTGGTGCCTGGGAACAGACCGTCTTTAGATTAAAGTAAAACTGAGTCTCTCAACAAACAGAAGCCAAACTATCTCAGTGAAAAGACTCTGGATCCCGTGTGAGATTTGTGCTGGAGTCGAGTCCATGTGTATTTCACTGCACTTCTGGAGTTCTCTACCTCTGCCGGCTCCTCTGCCGCGTCCTCGTCCCCGGCCCCGGCCCCGTCCGCGGCCCCTGGCAGTGTATCTGTACGGCGCTCCCTCGCTCTTCACACTCGACACCTCATCATGGTCATCCTTGAACTCCTGATCGTACTTCCCACTGTGCCAGTCTGCAAACACAAACACAATCCAGCACGCTGCTGTAGCGAAGAACCCACAAACCCTTCGCACTCAAAGTGTTGAGTGCCTGATGAAATGGAAATACAAGTCATTTACACTGCCGTACAAACATTTGGGATCAGTATGATTTTTTATGTTTTTAAAGAAGCCTCTTCTGCCTATCAAGACTGCACTTATTTGATCAAAAATACAGAAAAAAAATTTTTTTATTGTGAAATATTACAATTGAAAATTTTCTATGTGAATCTCTGTTAAACTGTAATGTATTCCTGTGATGCGCAGCTGTATTTCCAGCATCATTCCTCCAGTCTTCAGTGTCACATGATCTTCAGAAATCAGTATAATATGCTGATCTGCTGCTCAAGAAACATTTCTGATTATCATCAATGTTGAAAACAGTGATGCATTTTATTTTTCAGGATTCACAGATGAATAGAAAGTTCAAAAGAACAGCATTTATTTGAAATAGAAAACATTTGTAACATTATCAATGTCTTTACTGTCACTTTTGATCAATTTAAATTTCAAATAAATGCTGTTCTTTTGAACTTTGTTCATCTGTGAATCCTGAAAAATAAAATGCATCAGTTTCCACAAAGATACTGTGCAGCACGACAGTCAAGACAATCAGAAATGTTTCTGGAGCAGCAGATCAGCATATTATACTGATTTCTGAAGATCATGTGACACTGAAGACTGGAGGAATGATGCTGAAAATACAGCTGCACATCACAGAAATACATTACAGTTTAACACATACTCACACAGAAAACAGCTGTTTGGTATTATAAAAATATTTCACTGTTTCTACTGTATTTTTGATCAAATAAACACAGCCTAGAGCAGAAAAAAAAAAAAAAAACAACATTAAAAATCTTACTGATTGCAAACCATTACGCAGACAGAGCAAAGACAAATATGACAGCTAAGACTGAGCTGAATCTTCCCATCAGTAGAATTTTTAATAAGCTGATCACAAAAACAAATAGGTGCTTATTAGGGCTAGGTAAAGAATATCGATTACCTGCTTTTAACCGATTCTCATTTTTATGAAACGATAACGAATCATAAATCCCAAGAATCGATTAGTCTCGCCTGTCAGATAATGAAGGGAACATTGTAGCACACCTCCCATCCAATAAATCACAATAAGCTTTGCGATTTGTTACTTCTGATATGAAACCAAGGTCTAACTCATTTTAAATTCTGTCCATTTTATTACAATATTCAGATATGTAATGCTGTTTTGGCGCTGTTTGATGTCGAGTGACAGATCGCTGTGAACTGATCGTCTCCTCCGCTTTAATAGCATGAAATAAACATGAATGAACATCTGAAGCCATGTTAACTTCCTGAAACCAGTCTCCGGTCTCGTGTAATAACTCAATCAGTGTTTCAAACGAGACGACGACGATAGCTTAAACAATCTGTCACGTAACGTCACATTTAACACAGAAAAACACATTCGGTGACCATTAGTCAGCTAGAAAAATTAACTCTAGAGAGGAGCATTTTGATAAATATGCACCATATAACATTTTCATTATAATTTTTTAGTGTTCTTCGATATTTATGTTTGAATAAATCCGTCAAGTTTTTGTGACGACCACCATTTAAATGTTTCGATTTCAAAAAACGAATTGGAGTAGAAATATAATTATGTAATTTAAATTTAAAGTGAGTGTTACAACTTTAATATTACAAAAACTTTGAGTAGCCTATATTTTAAGTGTTTGTTTACAAATCAGCAAATTTCAGCCTTCCATATTATTGATTCTCAGGTATATTTTACAGCATTAGTTGAGAGATTTTTTTTCCCTTGAGAATTTGCCATGTCCTGTACCTGATATATATAAAAAATTATCGATATTGAATCAAATCGCAAGCTTGTGAAGGATAATCGAATCGAAATGTGACCCTGCAGCACAAAAGCAGTGTTAAGTCGCTGGGGGATATTTGTAGCAATAGCCAACAATACATTGTATGGGTCACAATTATACATTTCTCTTTTATGCCAAAAATCATTAGGATATTAAGTAACGATCATGTTCCATGAAGATATTTTGTAAATTTCCTACCGTAAATATATCAAAACTTAATGTTTGATTAGTAATATGCATTGCTAAGAACATTATTTGGACAACTTTAAAGATGATTTTCTCAATATTTAGATTTTTTTGCACCCTCAGATTCCAGATTTTCAAATAGTTGTATCTCAGCCAGATATGATCCTATCCTAACAAACCATACATCAATGGAAAGCTGCATTTTGATAAATATGCACCATATAACATTTTCATTATAATTTTTTAGTGTTCTTCGATATTTATGTTTGAATAAATCCGTCAAGTTTTTGTGACGACCACCATTTAAATGTTTCGATTTCAAAAAACGAATTGGAGTAGAAATATAATTATGTAATTTAAATTTAAAGTGAGTGTTACAACTTTAATATTACAAAAACTTTGAGTAGCCTATATTTTAAGTGTTTGTTTACAAATCAGCAAATTTCAGCCTTCCATATTATTGATTCTCAGGTATATTTTACAGCATTAGTTGAGAGATTTTTTTCCCTTGAGAATTTGCCATGTCCTGTACCTGATATATATAAAAAATTATCGATATTGAATCAAATCGCAAGCTTGTGAAGGATAATCGAATCGAATTGTGACCCTGCAGCACAAAAGCAGTGTTGAGTCGCTGGGGGATATTTGTAGCAATAGCCAACAATACATTGTATGGGTCACAATTATACATTTCTCTTTTATGCCAAAAATCATTAGGATATTAAGTAACGATCATGTTCCATGAAGATATTTTGTAAATTTCCTACCGTAAATATATCAAAACTTAATGTTTGATTAGTAATATGCATTGCTAAGAACTTCATTTGGACAACTTTAAAGATGATTTTCTCAATATTTAGATTTTTTTGCACCCTCAGATTCCAGATTTTCAAATAGTTGTATCTCAGCCAGATATGATCCTATCCTAACAAACCATACATCAATGGAAAGCTTATTTATTCAGCAGACGGCTGTGGTCGTGTCAGCACCTCTCAGGTCGTTCCGGCCGTTCGGAGGAACTCGATGAGCATCAAACTGACGCGTGTTATTCCTGGAGGCCGAACGCTCTCGAGGACCCTCAGCCTTCACCTCGATCCTCAGAGGAACCCACTTGTGCTTGTTTCCTACAACAACACCACCACCACAAATATTCATGTCATACTACATCTTAAAGCTGACACAAGGAACATTATTAGCGCTCGTTCATTCACATCCCAGATAACGCTCTTTTAAAACACTAAAGAAAGTCTGTAGCTGCTGGATGAAGGCTAGAGTTAAACACCTCGCTTTTTCTGTCCATTTCTCTGCGACTCCTCGTCGGTGTTTTTCTCTTCTCCAGAGTCGTCCGATTTGGCTTTCAGGTTTTCTTTACTCTCTTCGTTTTCCCTCTTTCCTTTGGACTCTCGTTTGACCGCTGACTTCTTCACCACCTGACGGAGCGATCAAACGAAACACTCGAGTCATTTCCACAAACCCGTCTGACATTACACTAGATCAGCTCTGTATGAAAGGAACCGGTCTCTACCTGAGAGCTTCTTTACTTCCAGAGTCCAACAAAGCCGTATATGCATTCAGACAGAAAATCATTTGGGATTACGGTCAAGATTGAAGATTTCTGACACAGTTGTACCTGAACTTCCTTCGTCGCGATCTCTCCAGGAGTCGGCCAGTTGTTCGTATCTCCAAAATCCCCCACCTTTAAAAACAGTGAACGTTACACCTGTTTCACAGCTAATCACAAGAGCAGACTGTAACGCCACCGCGCTTCTGGAAAACACACAGCCGCTCGCTCATATCAGACCTCAAAATATCATCCATCGCCACCAAATCTAATTCAGGGGTCCTCAAACTTTTTGGGGCCACGGAGCCCTCATAATTACAGCAGAAATAAAGCATATACTCGGTACGATTTGTTCTCTTAGATGCCATTGGAATTTTTTTATATAAAATTTTTCTGGATTAGGTAGGTTATTTTTTTACGTTTAATTACTTTTTCCCCCATTTAAATTTTTCTGGACACCGTTTTATTGGTTAAATTAAATCACTTTTTATTATTTTTTTTTTAAATATTTTTATTTAACATTATTTTAATGATTTGAATTCATAAAACTTACACAATTTAACAATTATTTATTAAAGGTTTAACAAAACATATTTTAAGGCCATATGAAATCGGTTTTATTTTTTCCTCAAATTCATTTTTTTTCAATTCAATTTTTCTGGACTGCATTTAAAACACTATATTATTAATGTTATTAACATTTTTACAACACCATGGCCATATGAAATGTTTTATTTTCTTCAGAAATTCTGTGTTTGAGTTTTTTTTTTTTGCATTTATAATTTAATCCAAATTTATTTTCAACAACTGTGGTAATCAAATGATGGCATAAAACATTTATATTTTAAAAGATTAAATTGTTATCAAATCAATTTTCAATTTTGGCAAAGAAAGAGCTGTACAGCAGAGGTTTATTGCAAAGTGAGATTATTTACTTATTAATAAAATCATTATTATTTTGAGAAGTACATTCTACTGTACAATAGTAATATTTGCGCCATTTATTCCCACAGACACATGCAGGATTCATATTTCAATATTCACAGACACCAGAGAGTCCATATCGCGATCTAGTGCACTGACCTACTTTCAATTTATTAATCCAAAACATGCCAAATTCATGGCATTCCGTGTTACGCACTAAATCGCATTCTGTCTGGATTCCGTCTGTTTCGTAGACCCCTGACTACGGGTCAAGGACCACCTGGATTCGGTCAGAATTACTGAAACTTGTCTTTCAGATAAGTCCGTTGTGATATCATTTCACTGTCAAAGACTCTTCTCAAATCTCTGCTGTCAGTGCTGCGTCTGTGAGGCTCATGTTACGCTGCTCGTCTGGTAAATGTGTCTCGGGTCAGTCAAACACAGAGACGTCACTCACCTTCCCGCCGCGTCTCATTCTCGCGTTTCCTGCCTTCACAACCTTCGTGGGCCCAGAATGCTCTAGAGCAGCAGAAGAGAGAGAGCAGACAATCAAAAACAGGTCAAATGATAGCTTTGAACAATTCAAAATAGCTTCTATAAATGGTTTTGCTCATTTTACCACTAAACCTGAAAAAAGAACACCTGATGTGTTTGAGGAGCGTAAGCAGTGCCTTCTCCTCATAAACACAAGAGGCGCTTCAGAACGTGACTAAAGTCATCATGAAATCAAAACAAACAATTCTTATTCATGCAACACTATTATTATTATTATTATGAATGATTTATCCGGGAACTCCATCAACATCCGCTCTGCGCTTGAGACGCTTTAACGCGCATTTGGGAACGAACCATACGCCAAACGTCTCCACAAATGAACGAGAAGCGCTAATCAACAAAAGACAAGGTTATTTTGACATTCAATTACGGTTTAACTTATATAATAATCAACACTCAAATTAAAGAAATTGTATGCAAACATGTAAATTACACATAGTGCAGTTTTAAATGAACTTACAAAATAATAACATTTCTATTTGTTGTTGAAATTTACACAGTGCCTCTAACAGATTTAAACATGCAATAATTAAGACATCACTAACAGGTAAAGTAAAATATAATGAGTATATAGTCTAATATTTCGCGAAATGCTAATGAGCACTAACGAGCTGTGGACACTGATGACTGCCTGAGGTAAATGAAATGCTACTGACATCGTTTACAAGCTGTTTTATTGCCGTCTTTCCGTGGTTGAAACACTGATTACATGAGGCGCGAGATGTTCATTCATGTTTATTTTGCGCTATAACTAGTAGTAAAGAGGAAGAGATGATCGTTTGAACTGAGGCGTTTATACAGCGATCTGTCAGGCCACATCCAAGAGCATTAAAACCACATTTATTGTTTCAATTTGACATAATTGACATCATTTGAAAGCTGAGACTTTGTCTCTTAACAAAAGTAACAATATAACGGTTATATAAGTTACAATATAAGTTTAGCTCGTGCAGTGGTTAAAACAACGCTGTATTTGTTCGGTACACATGTGTACCAAACCTAAACTTTTTTGCACAAATTTTTGCAGATTTGCAATCTTTGGGTCAACGGCTAGAGATTTAAAGGGATGATTCACCCAAAAATTTTAATTCTGTCATCAGTTGATGGTAGCCATTGTCTTCCATAGTATTTTTCTTCCATACAATGGCAGTTTCTTCAAAATATCGTCTTTTGTGTTCAGCAGAAGAAAGAGGTTTGAACAACTTGAGGGTGAGTAAATGATGACAGAACTTCCATTTCTGGCTGAACTTCCCCTTTAATGCTGCTACAGAGTCAGAGCAGGTGAAAGTGGTTCACAGGTTTCACAGAAAGAGCATGAAGTCAGTCAAATGGCTATCATTATGCTTTACTGCTTAACTGAGAATATTTGATGAAAGAGAGGAACAGATTTTCGTTTCCGTCTGCGGTGTGGGTCAGGAGTCTGTGGATTGGGCAGAAACGTGAAATAATGATTGTTTAGATTACGTTTCAAACATATTAAGTCTCTGATTATGACGCATCACAGCCACACTAAGCAAGAACCCAAAGACATGAGAAAAACCTAATCAAGTGCTGGAAATAACAGATTATTGCATTATTGCAGGGATGTTTATATGACCAATGCACATAATCCAAAATATTTCCAGCCAGCAGAACTATCCAGTGACATATACACGAAGAGCCTCAATCTAAGGTACGGCCCTGGTGCTTACTCAAAAATATATAACATTAACAGAATTGATAGTCATTCAAAAACTCATTTAATACTTGATTTTTCCGTGTGAGGCACTTTTTATGATGGATGGATGCACTTTTTTGGGCTTCAAAATCTCAACACCCATTCACTGCCATTATAAAGCCTGGAAGAGCCAGGATATTTTTAATATAACTCCGATTGTATTCGTCTGTAAGAAGAAAGTCACATACACCTAGGATGGCTTGAGGGTGAGTAAATCATGGGGTTATTTTCATTTTTGGGTGAACTATCCCTTTAAGATAGCATTACTGCTCAAGTTTTTGCTCCCAGATATTAATCTTTGGCAAAGTGACAGCAGTGAATGAAATACAAATGAGCTATTACTCATGGTATAACAGCTGATATCAGCAGGTGCCTCTGAGCATAATAAAGGTACGTGAGCTGTTTTGGTCTCAATTCCAGCGTTGAGAGTCTGTCAGCGGACGACAGGCGTTCATTCAGCCTCTCCTCCAGCTGCTGTAACCAATAACCCTAAACCTGACCTTTAACCTGACCCTAACTCAGTCCTCACAGAAACACACTGCTAACATTCCCCAGCAGGAAAAAAATACATCCAAATCAAAATATCACTGCAAAAGGTCAACAGGCAAATCAGTTTAATTTGTCGGTCAAGCACTGTATGAACGATTTAACGCATGAACAATGACTGAAGCAGCTGGATGTGTGTTACTAACTACACACCCCATACGGGTTTTCAATGGTCGGTCTCTATTGCTGCTTTATACAGCACTTCCCATGAACCACAGTCTGGAGGCCTGCCACAGTCTAATCCGTCCACCCAGTTTCATAATATACCGAACATTTGGACACTTCTCATTAGGGATGTAACGAGGCGCACTGAGCCGCTGAAAAGCAATAAAAATGTCATGATTCAAGTCGGTTGAGATGTTGAACGAATCGAGAAACATTTGGGGGTGGGAGTTTATATCAATGTATCTCTGAGAAGAACTGACTGTCTTCAGAAAAGTGTAAATACTACTTTCTTTTCATCTAACCTCCAGATAATGCATATTACAGTAGTGTTCATAAGCGCAGCTGCTTGGTTTACAGCGGTGTAGCGTCTGGACCACTCAAACACACAATATATATTTTGTTGAAGTCTGAGAGGTGGTGAGAAAAACGCACCCGGAAACCCTAAGCTCGCGCCAGGCTTCGGCCTTGTCCTTTCCATTCTTCAAGTTACTCTGACGCAAACTGGTTCTTTCTC